TTCTTGAGGGCAGATACTATGTCTTACTCATACTGATCTTCTTTTTTCCTACAGTAACTTTAACAATGTTAGGCACACAGTAATGTATTGATTGATGTTTGGGGAACTCTATTTAATGAAATTAACTCACCTGGAAGAGAATTAAACCCATGACTCTTGCTATATTGCCCCAGGTTCTTACCGGCTAAGCCAACTTAGCATAATATCCTATACAAAAACAAAAGGGCTTACAGGAAATGTTTGTGACAGAAGTAATGGCTGTTTTGTGTTCTTTTATGGGATGAGCAGTCAGGCGTGGCCACAGGAGAGACAGAGGAAAAGCTCAGGAAAAAACAACATTTATTATATTCACAGGACCTAGAGACAGGAGCCCTAGGAGGCTAGGTAGGGCCACTTAGGAAAGACATCAGGGTGCTCACGAGGCAGGACATAGGAGCAAGGGGAAGAAGGTTCAGGCCGCTGCTTATTAGGGCTTCCACAGGAAGAGGAAGGGAGGGCAGGGTAAACAGTTAAGCATTGGCTAGTTGGAACAGTTTCTGCTGACTCTGTAGGGGGTGCTCCCTTGTTTCTGATACCTGCCCCTGGGGTGATTAAGGAAAGAGCAATATAACCTCCTGGGATGGAAGGGGCGAATGGAGGACATCTGGCTCTGGACTGATTAGCTTGCATATCAAAAGCATGTTCCTGATCGAGCCCTTGCTCTTTCTAGGGATTGGCTAGCCCCAAGAGGAGCAGGCTCTCCACAGCCAGAAAGGTTTTTTAAGATGTCAAAACATCACAATACATAGAAAATAAACATTTGGCCTTTGAATAACATGGGTTTGAACTGCACAGGTTTACTTATAAGCAGATTTTTATTTTTTTGAGACAAAAATCTCAACTCTGTTGCTCCAGGCTAGAGTGCTATGCCATCAGCAACCTCAAACTCTTGGGGTTCAAGCAATCCTCCTCCCTCAGCCTCCTGAGTAGCTGGGACTACAGATACCTGCCACAACACCTGGCTGGTTTTTCTATTTTTAGTAGAAATAGTGTCTCCCTCTTTCACAGGCTGGTCTCGAACTCAAGGGATCCTCCCACCTTGGCCTCCCAGAGTGCTAGGATTATAGGCAGGAGCTACCACCATACTAGCCACTACCTAGTAGACCCATACTAGCCACTACCACCTGGCTAGTATATTTATTTCTAATAAATATATAGGAATTTTTTTTGGAGATTTCTTTGTCTTGACACAGAGTATCTGTTGCCCCAGGCTAGAGTACCATGGCATCAGCTTAGCTCACAGCAGTCTCAAACTCTCGGGTTCAAGCAATCCCCCTGCCTCAGCCTCCTGAGTAGCTGGGGCTATAGGTGCCTGCCATGATGCCCATCTATTTTTTTCTATTTTTAGTAGAGACAGGGTCTTGCTCTTGCTCAGGTAAAATTTTGGAGATTTTTGACAATTTCAGAAAAACTCTCTGACAAACTGCGTGGCCTAGAAGTACCACATACTTTGCTAAGCATTTTAAACATATTAATTCCTTATAGCAATCCTGAGTTGGATACTGCTATGGTTCCTGTTGTACAGCTGGGGGGACTCTCACACAACTTTCTAGTGCCCAATATCCATTTCCTACACCCAATAGAAATCTTGGTGGTAGGCTGAAGGCAGGCATAAAGTAAAAACAAAAGGTCTGCCTCTGATTTAATCTGTCTATGGCCTGTGCTTCGTGTCTGTAGAAGGCAGTGTAGGTGTGTGGTCAGTGCAATTTTTGCCACACAGAACTTTCTCCTGCCTGGCCTTCAGCACTCCCCACCCCCAACATACACAGAACATCTCTAACATTCATATCATGGATTTGACGCAGTATACAGTGGCAAAAACACAGACCTGAAACTTGGTGAGATGTGACTTTGGTCTCTGTCAACTTATTATCTGTGAGATCTTGGGCAAGTCACTAAAACATTTGGAGTTTTGGTTTTCTCAGCTATGAAATGAAAAAGATGATGATTGTAATCAAAACTGTGAGAGGACTGAAGGAAAGGATATATTTGAATTCTTTTTTTTTTTTTTTTTGTGACGGAGCCTCAAGCTGTCCCCCTGGGTAGAGTGCCATGGTGTCAAGCTCACAGCAACCTCCAA